TAGTTCACCCATTGTCATTACAATGTGACCGGACGGAATGCTATGCTGGGTGCATTCGGCATTGTTTTTCAGTGAGCTGTTAATTGGACTTTGAATAAAATAAAACCAAACCATAACGCTGAAATGTTGTTTTGAGTAAGTGTTGAATGTTCAAACAAGATTACCGTTCGTCTTCCTCTTCATTGGGTGTCACAGCTGAAACAAAAAAAAACAAAAAAAAATGTTTAATCAAAATTCATTTTTCACTTTTGTACAAATTAATGATTGTTATATAGAGTTGGGTATTGTTTGAATTGTTTTGTATTGCAATGTATACAACCTAACCGATATTGCGAAATTTACTCAACATGAATAATTGTATATAAAAAAGAAATTATTGATGTTGGACATGATCACTTACACAACGTGTACAAGAATATCAAGCAATTTTCACTGAACTTACCTCGTTCTGAAAGTTGCACGTTCTGAAATTCCCTTTGTTTCAGATGCTGACCTTTGCTAGAAAACAATATACAAAATTCCTATATATTTGTAATTCACAGCTATTACTTCACAATATACAGTTGTGGAATCGCACAACGATACACAATTTGCGGTGTGCGCGCGATGTGGACGATTATTGATTGCGCACATTTGTTAATAATGAACGAACGTTGTGCGATGACAACCGTGATTGGTGTACATTTAGAAATGCTTTAACAATATATACGGTTTCGTGTTGACACCTATACATCTGATTTTTAAGTATATTTCTATATTTTAGCTACATATATTAGCTGATCTTTCGATCTGTGTTTTTCTTAAATTTAAAAACGGCGTTTATTAAAAGACCCAAATCGACATATGCAAAATAACACACGGTCCCAGTTACATGTAACCATAGCCGCTGTGTATCTGTACCTGGAGCGTAGTTTCCCCCACCCGGGGCACTTACTTAAGGTGTTAGAATCAAGATGAACTGAAGCTATAGATTAAACAGATACAAATAATAAATACTTTACGTCCAGTTGTGTTATAAATTACGGTCATACGACATCACATATTGTATATGTAGCTCTCTTTTTCAGAGACTGGCCAGGTAAAACTTCAGTCAAAATGTTATTTACCAGTTTTGTTTCCTGGTAACCAAACCCATTCTTGAAACAGTCTAATGGTTACTGTGTAACACGCATTGTAAAATTGAACAAAATCCTTATTACTATGATGGGCAATTATTATATACCGTGTTTCTTATTCCATATGAGGGTTCCGAATTTCTTTCATTCCGTAATATTTATCAAACCATTGAACCCAATCGCAAAGCGCACACCGATTGTTAAATCGCACACTTGTGCGCACCATGGGGGGACAAAGTTGCGGACGGTGTGTGCACGATGTATGCACGATATGCGCACGCTAATTTTGGTGCGTTGTGCGTTGTGCGGTCACACAACTGTGCCATCAAATTTCGGAACATGATTTTCTTAACATAGTATGATGATTTTAATTAAGCACGTTTTTCAAACTAAACTGATTTTTTCAACATTGCATTATCATTAATATAAGCAAGATATTTACGAAAAGACGAAATAACTAATAAACACCAAAATAGAATATATGTCGATTTGGTGTCGGCATTCATTTACTTACATACAAGGCAGTCTACCATTTCCTGTAAAATAACATAGGTAGATGTTAAAAGTAGTGTATACTTGTTTAACGTTAACAGATAACAAACGTACATTTAAGTAATTCAGTTGTCTTGAGTATGTTCAATCCGTGATATAGATAAACAGACAGAACAAGTGAAAAATATTGATCAGTATAAAATGTTGATAAAACTCATATATAGTTTTTGCAATTTCCTTCTTTTTTTTCAAATACAGATTGGAGTAATATGTACGTACGACTGATGAATATTCCAAGTCCAACTGTTAACAGGAGCGTGATAATACTGGTACAAATCAGGGTAACGCCTGTTACATACATGCTGTCGGTACTGCTGGAGCATTTTTTATTAAGCAAAAGGTAGAATATGTATTTCTTTTAAAAACCAATCAATATATGATAAAAAATACCTTATTCATAAAGTGACCTTACGTCATCAAACAGTCAACTTAAAAGTGGCATATAATTAAATCGTTCGTCAGTAATAACAAGGGCAAAATATGAAAAGTACAAATATTTGTATGATAAAGATACAATTATAAAGTAAAGAAAACCTGGAACAATGACAAAGAAACAACAAGGTGAACATAATCAAAAGCACCGACCAGTATACCATATTAGTACATGACATATGTATTTAGATTAAGATTGCGAATGAAACCATATAAGGTGCATATATTCTAAACTGTATCTCTCAGATCCTTAATTTCTTACACACTCCTGTTGCTTAAAACCAACTCATGATATATATGTTGGGTTCTTGTGAGTCTATGACATCGTACCAACAATACCGTGCGCAC